AGGAGGAGGGCGGGGGGAGAGAGAGAGAGAGAGAGAGAGAGAGAGAGAGAGAGAGAGAGAGGGTTCTTTTGCTTTCGCCAAGACAGATAAGGCCTCTTGCAGCTCGTGACCGAGACCGATCTACGCTTCCTTAGGCTCCTCCTTATCCTCCTGCCCGCTACTACCACCGACTTCAGCTACTGAAGCATAATGACTACTCTCATTAGTGGCACCATTAGGACCTCGCTCCACTACTTTCCAAATGTGCAAAACGAGAGTGAATCTTCCCCTAGAACATGGAAAGATACATGGCCACGGTTTTTGTCTTTTGTCCATGTCGAGAGTAGGAGCGAGGCCCAACAACAGTGTCGATTGAGGGCATACTCACACTAGGACTTTTTCGACTCAGCTCTGGACGTGATAGCAGTCTGATGCATCCATCTCCGGCCGTAATTGCGGTCAGATACACTTACGATAGTGCTGGATTACGTATCCCCGACTACTACTACTCCAATCTCTCCGCATCTTTATGACCACAATGCGTCTGCACTTGCCATGATTCGCTCTCTCCTCCTCCCTCACCCCCACCCGCTGCTGCAGATACTCCTCGTGTTTACCACTGTACAGCATTCTTGTCTCTCACTCAGAATGCATATCGACAAGGGAGGACTTCCTAGCCATACCAGTGCAAGCACCATAACCAAACCCTGGCTCCGAAGTCGTGTTGTGCTTCTTAGGGTATAGTCACACGAGAAGATTGTTTACTTATTTATGGACGCAATTCGGTCAGATTCATCCAGACGCGGCCGTAAATGCGATCAGATACATTTAAGATAGGGCTATTGTGAGTACACCCTTGTATTGTTACGACCGGCATTACCCAAGCCAATTGTCGACTTCCGGACGCTGTGCGCTCAAGCATCCTCCAGGCCCCAATCAAAAAGATGCCTTCTTGGCAAATATGTAGCGGTGTGTTCCCTACAATGGGCCTCGTCGCACGACACATGAAACATATAGTGAAAGGATTGCATCTTCCCACAGAAAGTGGAATGATTCATCCCTTCACCATACATGGTAACGAATACATTTTTTTTTTTTTTTTTTTTTAAGGTGGGCAATACCGGCCAGGAGTCAGCCGGAGGACCGAGCTTCTTCGATGAGCCAGTCACTGTGCCTCCCCTCCGGTCCCCTCCCCTTAATGAATATCAGCAGTCTCTGCTCAATGCCACTCGGAGGTCAACGATTACATCTTTGCCACCTTCTGCTGGCAGATGCACTCGTTTGTTTTGGGCTTTGGGCCGTGCGGCAAGGCAAGTGGGCACGATCGAGTAAGAGTACGATGAATCCAGTGAGGGGATACCCACACTACCACTTTCCAAATGTATCTGACAGCAATTACGGCGGGACCTGGATGCATCTTACCGCCATCACCTCCAGAGCAATCAGAGTGACGGGATGTACCTGACACGGTTGACAGTGTGAGTATGACCTCAGATAGCAAACGAGAGAGGAAACAGAAAACAATGAAGCTTGAGGGCATACTCACTCTAGGACTTTTTCTAACCAGCAGTGGACATGATTGATGTCAGATTCATCCACGTCTGGTGGTTATTGCAGTCAGATACATTTGGAAAAGTTAGTGTGAGTATGCCCTGAGTTCAAGTGAGGGGATACCCTGCCAATAGACATGCAGGACATTGTTCCACCAAACGTGGAAATGGCGAATGTGTCCATCGGGACCTGCTAAAATTGGGAGAAGAATACAAAAAATAACATATTGGAGTGATAAACACCAGATTCGCATGGCCCCTGCGCAAGGATGACACGCACAAATCAAAAGATTGAAATCTACCCATTTCCAACTTTTCTTTTTGATGTTAAGCTTAATTAAATTTACGATATACTTGAAGGGCCTCGCCACACCAATGTCGAAACATCACGACATTCGACATCGCCTCTTTCGACAGAAAAACCCTCTTCGCCACACAGCATGTCGAAGTGAAGAACTTTCAAGTCCTATGCACAAAAGAGAAACTGGGGTGAAGATAGGACAAGCGTTGGTCTGTTCTCCTTTTCGACATTCGGGCAAGAACTCGACATCCCATCGGAGGACTGTTGAAAATGTCCAAGTTGCAGGCTGGGAAACGAGCCCTGCTCGAGAGGAGGTGTCGAAACCCTTTCCCTGACAGCTCCTGAATTTGTTTCGCGTCTCGGATTTCGACATGCTGTGTGGCGAGGAGAACAGTCGAAAATGCAGTTTTCGACAGTGGTGTGGCGAGGCCCTAAATAAATAAAAGAAGTCATGGCAAACCCCGCCTCTTTATCATCCCGGCCCCATTTTCACATCTGACTACCTGTAGTAGAGGAACAAGGCCCGTAGACGCGGGGAAGACGCGGGAAAGGCAAGTAGGAAGGGCCTCGTTCCACACCACTCCACTTTATAAATACTCGTGAAAGGCGCGCCAGCGCTGGTCTCCCTACCTGTGAAGCAGTGATTTTGGTGCTTCCCGCCATCTCCGTCTCCTTGTCCGTTCCGGCGGGAAAAGATGACACAGCTTCAGCTGACAAAACCCGCCACGCGCCCGAGATCACACTCTCCCCTCCGCTCCTGCAATAGGAGCAAAGACGGCCAGGCAGCCGAAAACCCGCCACTGGCTCGGCCACTGCGCTTCCCCGCCAAATTCCCCCGCTAATCGATCCCCACAACAGATTGGCGGCAAGTTCCCTGCCTCTCAGTAGAAGGGGTGTTTTTCCCGGCCGAGCTGCAGTAAGACCCTGCACTGCAATGGACTGACCTACTGCTCGAGTCTCTTCCGACACCGTGGCAGCAGCAGTTCAGAAAAGTGTCGCCAATGGAAAAAGTGCCGCCAATTCCTGCTGGGCGGCGGGGCAGGCTTATGCTCACCACAGCAATCGACTGCTGCTGGACACGTGACTCTGCAACGGGAATCCCGATTTGAGTCGCACAGCTTTGAGCCAGTGCTCGATGGCAGCCATAGCTTGCCCTCCACGGGCAAGAAGACAAATATAGACCTACGCATGCTGTCATTCCTTTTTTTTTTTTTTTTTTTTTTTTTAAAGGCCTTTTTTTTTTCCCTTCGTCCTCAAGACTACTGCAGCGGTAAGAAAAAGATACAAAAGATGGCTGTGTAGGCTCTGCGTCCACGTCAGAGATTCCCGAGGTCAGGCGGAAGGAAGCCGTGCCGCAGAGAACGTGAGCCCAGGATTCAGCCAAGTCTCACGAGATGTGGCTGAATCTTTTTCCTTCCGTTTTTTGCCCTATGGGCCGCGGTTTTTTGCCCCGGGAGCAAGATCAAACTTTCTCTTGGAAAAAAGTCTGACGGGGGTACCGGCCGAAGCGCTTCCACCGGCGCTAGGGCGTTTCGGCCGAAGTGCTTCCGCCGGTAACGTGGGCTTCTGAGTCAACTGTGTGCGCCGCCACCATGACGTCGCCGCGGTGGTTATGACCCTATCCCTATCCGCCATGCCTCGGAGGGTCGACGCTGCTTGCCTGAATAAGGGAAGATCGGCGATGGTGTCATAGGTCCTCCATACCAGCAAAATAGCTCACATCGTATTCTTGTATAGTGGCAACCAGAAGTCTTAGCTATTCCTCTGTTGTATTATAGAAATCATCGAGTCTGCGGTGAGTGGAGTTGGGAGGGGAAGATGTCATGGCATCGGTGGGAATGGAGGATGGCGAACATCAACGTGATGCTCGCTCTCCCCCCCCTGACCCAGGAGGTGACAGGGACGAAGATGAGAGACTCAGAGAGCTGATGCATCTATGCTATGAAGAAGGGATCATGCCCCCTAACATAGATCCCGGGGAGATGACAGTGGAAGGAAGAAAAGTAAGATTTAAAGTCACCGAGCAGTGGAAGGAAGAAAAGTAAGATTTACAGTCAACGAGCGGATTGACAGAGTGAAGATCGCTTGGCTAAAGGAACACACCGTGACGGGAATCTTCCGTGAACGGGCGAGGTTCCTTCCCAAGAAAGTTAAAGATGACATCGTACGCACTTTCGAAGATGAAAAGATTCAGGATGGGAGTTCTGAGGCGGAGAACTTTCGACGAGGGAGAGTTAAGGTGGAGAGCCCTAATGTGGTCTCCTACGTTGCAAAATCCAGTGCGATTGTGGCTTGGATGTCGAAGGCGCAATACCTACAAGCTGGAGTTAAAACCTTGGATGTCGAAGGCGCAACTCCGGGACCAACTCCAATTGGTGGAGAACAGAGTGTTTCCGTTATTATGTACTTACGCCCGCAACTCCTTGTGAGTCATTGCTTGGCCTACTCCGGAGGGTCCGCTACAGATGGTAAATATCCTGGGTCCCGAATAACCAATGCCTTCTGCGTTGGTCACGCTAATCAGAACGGCTATCAACGATCGTTTTTTGTTTCGAATCATTCTAGATATGGCTATGCGAAGGTTCGGAGAATCTCGGAAAATCGAGCTTGGCAGACTGAAAATGCCTCCTCTACAGTCTGTTGAACGGTTAGCAGAGGTGGATGGTAAACTTTTGAAGGATAAGAAATTGCTCTTTCCGTACGTTAGATCAATGATAACTGCGAACTGGCTTCCGACCTCTCGGGGTTCTCCCCATATCCAACCTGTTGTTGGGAAACAGGGTGTGAATGGGCAAAATTAGAATTGGGTCGTGGAACGTGCAAGGGTTGGGGGATGGATCAGGGTGCCACAAACGAGATAACCTGAAATCATGGATATTTGATAAGAACATTCATGTAATGTGTCTTCAAGAAACTAAACTCTCTGAGGAAAAAAAATCATGATTATCGAACTGGTGGGACGGCCCCCAATTATGGGCTCCTACGATAGGCTCGAGAGGGGCTACTGCGATCCTGATCCATAAGAAAGCGGAACTAGAAATCGTTGATTTTTATTCTGATATCTGGGGATGGTGGTCTTGGGTGAAGTGTTTTGTAGACGGCTCATATTGGGTTTTTGCATCAATTTATGCCCCAACAGAGGAGAACCCTCGTTCTAACTTCTTTCAGGATCTGCTTTTGATTATTTCGGAGGCTGATAACCTGGTTCTGGTGGGGGATTGGAATATTAGACGACTCATCGGGCAGGAGAATCAGTGATAAAATAGCTCTTACCATGACTATGAATGAATTGGAGGTAATCGATCTGTATCGTTTATCACACCCGGACTCTCCGCGCTATACATGGTTCTCTCACTACCGTGAAAATACTGGTATCACCAAACGTAGATTGGATTTTTTTTTATATATCCTCTACGCTATGGCAATCGGTGGATAGTGTGCATGAGTCAGCTCATTACCTATCGGATCATGAACCAGTGATTATCTCTCTCCATACGTCATAAGTCCTGCGAGGAAAAGGATTATTTCGGTTTAATACCGAAAACCTTTAGGAACCAGGCCTTGTAATGTGAACGAAACAGTTTTGGAAAGATTAGGAGAAAACACGAGGAGATTACCAATCTACTGCAGAATAGTGGAACTCAGGTTCACGGATCTTTTTCAATTTTCTGAACGTTATTTCACGTATGTTTGCTTTAAACGGAACAGACGAGTAGAAGAGATTCAGAAACGGATAACTTATGCAGAGTCAAGGATGCTAGAACACACGGTCTCAAAGAAGGTGTGGGGGAAAAAAAGGAACATACTGCTAGCGGAATGGGATGAACTCCAATGTAAACAGTCGGAAATCTAGACAGATCGACTGCGAATCAAAGGTATTGGGGTGCATGACCGCATGACAAAGGAAGCATATAAACTACTTCAAAAAAGGGTCATAACTCCCATGAAGGAACTCAAACATCTGTTTGATGAGGTCGCCCCGATAGCGAAGGAATTAACAGAACTCTGTAATTACGCAGCGTTATATTATAAGGATATCTCGACCTCCAGAACAAAGGGAGCTAATACACGATTTGATCTCCACAAAGACTCGCAACATTGGACTAACACAGAGGTCAGACTCTTTCTGACCGGGAAGCTAGACTTGGATCGACCTGTCACCACCACCGAAACTCATGAGGCACTGAAAGCAATGACAACCGGGAAAGCATCAGGGGATGACGGCTTTCCGGCTGAACTATATCTGGCCATATGGGATGTGGTAGGAGATAAATTGATGGAGATTTACAATGAGGTGTTAGTGGGTGGGAGATTAGCGGCCAACATCATGTGTCGGGGCATTATTTCAGTTATCTTTAAAAAGGGTGATAGAGCTGAAATCCGAAATTAGCATCCCATATCCGTTCTAAATGTGTCATATAAATTTTGGCCAAAGTTTTGGCGAGACGTCTGGGACGGTACCTTCCGGATCTAGTGCAATCAGACCAAGCAGCATTCGTCAAGGGTCATTCAATTTCTGATAATATTGTCACTGCAATTTAAACCTTGGAGGTGATACAAAATGAACAACTGGATTGCGTCGTCCTACTCTTAGAGCTAGAGAAGGCATACGACCGGGTTAACTGGTCGTATGTCCTTATAACTTTATACAAGATGGGATTTGGAAAGAACTTATGCGTTAGGGTATCAACCCTGTACACCCTATCCACTGTTGCAGTCATGATAAATGGTTGCCTCTCCCACAAATTTCCTCTGACTAAATTTCTGCATCAGGGGTGTTCATTGACCCCCCTTCTGTTCGCGGTTCAAATGGAAGGAGTCTTAAACAACATTCAAGCACATGCACAGATAGTTGGTGTACAGGCAGACCCAACTCCATACAGAGTGAAAGCCTTGGTTGACGACTTATTCGTTGTTTTGCAAAACACTACCCAATCATTAGGAGCTCCGAAAAGTTGTCTGGACAAGTATGCCCTCCTATCTGAAGCTGCTATTAACTTGCATAAATCAGTTTTCTTTTTGCCAACACAGTTTTCACTAGTGGTACAATGGGGTATGAAACGTGTTGAAGCGGATGACTCTGAACGTTTCTTAGGAGTTCAGATAGCTCTATCGAGTTGTATGAAAGCTCGTGATGGGATTCTATTGCAAAAAATTATGCAAAGGTTGGTATCACCTATCAATCTATGGAAGGGCGATGGTAGTCAATGGGGCTCTCTTTACATTGTTGTGGTATGTACTATGTAGGGAGGGTACGAGGGTTGAGCCCTCAACTATATACCATATCGAGAAGAAGAACTGCTAAATTTATCTGGAAACCCTTCTCAGAAGAGGGGGATGCGTTTATATCAAAAGTGGCTTGGGAAACGCTGTGCTGCCCTCGCAGCGAAGGAGGATTGAGAATGCTAGATCCACTGAGACAAAATTATGCAATGTTAGTACTGTGGATTATTCGGGCAACCCTTCTTACCCCCCCTCCTCATTGGGTCCTTCTAGCAGAAAGAATATTGACCAAGGAATGACATCTATTAAGACCAAAAGATGTGTGGACGTGTCTGATGCTATACTCTTATCAACGCGGACACGTCAAGTCCCCCTTTTGGTCAACGATTACACACGCTTGGAGAAAAATCAGACCGAATGTATGGAAGGAGCCCCACACAAAGGCCGAAGTGATGCTACAACTATTGTTCGAAAACCTGAGAATAAGAGACTCTACTGGGGAATGGTTCAAGGTTGATTCATCCCCAGCAAGTTTCGGCCGCACATGCACAAAAAGAGGTATCCTTAGAATCCAGGATCCGTGGAATCCTATTCTGGGTAGCTGGAAATCAAACGAGGAGCTTCACTCTCAGCTGGGCCAAACATGGTACCAGAACGGCAGGAACCGTGTCATAATAGAAGCAATCCTCAAGGAGTGGAAACAACTAATCTCCGCATAAGGGGTAGATCCCCCGGGTACATGGTTTACCACTACTCAGTCAGACCCCGAACATGTCTGGAAGTTGATTAACATAAACAACGAAGGGAACAAAGAATTCGAGTGTTGGGATATTCTGCAAGGAAGCGTACTGACACCAACTGAAGACAACCGCGCTCCCCCCCAGTGGGGTCATCCATGCAACACGTACGTATTTTGGAAACTCCTAGACCAGATGATTCAGTTTTCTGTCAAACTGTAGTCAGCGGATACGCCCCTAAGGGTGGTGACAGCCCCTTAGGGAAGGTAAGTTGTGCCCCGCGATAACCTATGCTGTCGTAGGGGACCGCGGGATGTACAGTTGGCGCACTCGGCCGGAGCGGCGAAGGGTCGGCGCTGGTTACTGTGTCGTCCCCGAGTTGTCTCAAAAACGTTGAAAGCCTAAGTTTCTCCTGCGTGACACGGCCGGGAGGGCGCAGTAGAGGAAAAACTAAAGTTAGACCTAGTCTACCTAAAATAATGTCAAACAGCCGCGCGATTCATGGCCTAAGTGAGCTAATAAGAGGTGTGCGCCGGATATAAAGCCGCGACGCAGGGGGACTAGGATCGCTCGCAGTTTTCCTTACGCTTGGAATATCATGTCATAGTCGACCGACGTCGTTCCGATTCCTGGGAGATCAGCGCCCCAGGGACGGACAACGTTCGGGTCCACTTTGGCGTTTAACCATGTGTACCTATGCTACAGCGAACGAGCAAACACCCTCGGCCGTCCTACCTCTGCAATTGCATTAGAAAAACTTTCGCATGTGGGTCGGTAGCTCGGCGGGGATACACCCCTAAGGGTGGTGACAGCCCCTTAGGGAAGGTAAGTTGTGCCCCGCGAAAACCTATCCTGTCGTAGGGGACTGCGGGATGTACAGCTGGCGCACTCGGCCGAAGCGGTGAAGGGTTGGCGCGGGTTACTGTGTCGTCCCTGAGTTGTCTCTAAAATGTTGAAAGCCTAAGTTTCTCCTGCGTGACGCGGCCGGGAGGGCCCTCGCTCACGCGGGGGCCGATGCGCTCGACAGGTGGTTGGAGGAACCTGTCATCGAAGAGGATCCATGGGGCGAGCAGGCCGCAAAGGAAATGATGAGGTTGGCTTTGACCGATGACATCGACCTTATGCTTGATCCGCTAACGATTGAACAGGGCCATACGCAGGCTGATGACGCTTTCCAGACCGTTGGAAGGATGTCATATATCATGAACTTGTTAGTTCATGAGGATCGCCTGAAGTTAATGAATGCGGAGGAAAGCGACAGTGAGAGCGAGGAGGAAAAGGAGCCGCCTCGTAAGTTGACAAAGGCGGAGAGGAAGGTCTTGAATCAAATTCGAGGCGGACAGGGGACTTCCCGTAAACAGGGGAAGAACGGTGGACATAATAATCAAGGAGGGAATGGCAATGTTGGCGCTGGTTCGTTAGGACAAAGTTCCCAAGATCAAGGGCAGTTTCAGCCGTAGGGTGGAAGAGGCCGCGGCCGAGGCCGTGGGAACGGACAGCGAAGCCGTTGGGCGTGGCAGCAGGAAGCCACATTTAACTATTGCGCAGAAAAGGGCCATATTATGCGGTTTTGCCAACTCCTTTCAAGAGATGAGAAGGAAGGAATTGTCTTCACCACGATACGCGGTGAAGTCTTTGATTACGAAGGGAACATGATCGACCCCAACATTGAAGGGGGTATGAGGAAGGAGGCGTGTCGCCGAATGGGTCGTCCCCTGCCGGCGACGTTCCGGATTGCTTCTTTCGAAGAAGCACGGTTGGCCGAGGTCGAGGAGGTCATGGCGTCGTTACATATTAACGACTCGTCGGCGGAACCAGGAGGGTTTAGGGAACAATTGGTGGAACGAGCGCAAACCATCACAAGGCGGCTTGCCCGGTGCCGGGACTCTATTATCCGACTCTGCGTGGACATGGAGGAAGTCTGGCCGGGGTTGCCGAATGTCTTTCTCTTCGGTGAATGGGGTGATAAAAGGAAAGATGCGACTGGCCAAGCAGGGACGTCTGCTCCGAGAGAAGCATCACAAACTGGGCCAATGGTAAGCACGATGCGACCCAGGCTTGTGCTAAAGAGGAGTGCTCCGACTGTAGCCGTTCAGACTCGGATGCGACGACGAAACGAGCAACTTCAAAAGGAAAGAGAGTCTGAAAAGGCAGTGGAAGAAGAGCCTATCCCCATTAGTGAGAACGATGAGGATAACGAGGATGAGAAGTTGCGGGCCGAAAAAGAAGAATGGGCTCGTCGACGTGCGCTGGAAAGGGAGCCGGAGAAAGGGAAGGCCGAAGTAAGCGAGGAGGAGCAGCGAAAGGGCTGTCGGGACAGAAACCCTTGTGAGGGTTTCTGCCCGAGTTTTTCAAGGTCAGACACTGCCCAACCCCTTTTTTTAATTGGAACACTTGACGAGATTGACGTTGCCAAAGTTATTCAGATCAACCCTATAACTGAAGGACCTAAAGCCTGATGTCGTTGACGTAGGACGTCGTTGACGTGTGACGACGTCGACATCCGTTCAAGACAGCGGGAGTCGGCACTGTCGTCCACAGTTCTCGACGAGGCCTCAGTAGTGTGCAGTCGTGGAAAAACTAAAGTTAGACCTAGTCTACCTAAAATAATAACAGCCGCGCGATTCAGAGCCTAGGGCGTTTGCTCGTTCGCTGTAGCATAGGTATGCATGGTTAAACGCCAAAGTGGACCTGAACGTTGTCCGTCCCTGGGGCGCTGATCTCCTAGGAATCGGAACGACGTCAGTCGACTAGGACGTGATATTCCAAGCGTAAGGAAAACTGCGAGCGATCCTAGTCCCCTGCGCCACGGCTTTATACCCGGCGCACACCTCTTATTAGCTCACTTAGGCCCTGAATCGCGCGGCTTAACAGCCGCGGGACATTATTTTAGGTAGACTAGGTCTAACCTTAGTTTTTCCACGACTGCACACTACTGCGGTCTCGTCGAGAACTGTGGACGATAGTGCCGACTCCCGCTGTCTTGAACGGATGTCGACGTCGTCACACGTCAACGATGTCCTACGCCAACGACATCAGGCTTTAGGTCCTTCAATTATAGGGTTGGTCTGAATAACTTTGGCAACGTCAATCTCGTCAAGTGTCCCAATCAAAAAAAGGGGTTGGGCAGTGTCTGACCTTGAAAAACTCGGGCATGTGAGGGTTTTTGTCCCGACAACGTGTTTTGGAAACTCCTAGACCATATGATTCAGTTTTCTGTCAAACTGTAGTCAGCGGTACTCCCATTCTCCATTTGAAACTCAATCCAGCTAAGTGGGAATGGACAGTGAACGGGACAAGAGAGACCAATGCCACTCTTCCGGACTACTCAATCAAAATTGGGTATGTTGTAAACCGGCCGTTGAAAATACCACAGGTAGTGGCTCGTGAAAGATGGGCACAACTCTTACAACTGGACTTGGAAGAGATTGATAGAGCACTTATCTATATGCTGGAAACAACTGAAATTAATTGCAAATCAAAGGTACGCTTCGCTACTATGGCTGGTCTCACTAGTCTTTACCCCATCAACAGTATGGTTAGCAGAAAAAGTTATGAAGTTAAATTTGACGTGTATACGATGTCAGTGGACTTTTGAAGCCACAATGCACTTATGGTGGGATTGCCCTGCTTCAACCCATATATGGAAATGGTGGATAAGCCGATGCGATAACATTTCCAGAAATACGTTCCCGTGGACTAAAGAATGGACTCTATTGGACGGACTTCCAGCTGACGTTCCAATCTCCAAAGAATGGGGTTATGTGGCTCAATTTGTTAGAGCAGTATGTTTTGCAGTTATATGGTAGAGCAGAAATGATCAGATCTTTGACAACAAGGACTGAACGAACAAACAAATTCGCCAGACCTTTAAGCTTCATCTCAGACGTGTTATTCAAGCAGATTGGAGACGGAAGACAATATCCGTATCTAATCCTCAGGCATGGATTCGCTGGTTCAAACAGACTTGGGCCATAAATGGCAAGCTGTGTAGGATCAACGACAACAACCAATTATGTTTGGACCCGTGATTGTTCCAAAATTGAGCCCTCTCTTGTGGAACAAGGTTCTAACTTGGGAGTATCCGAAATTCTTGTGGTGGTAACAGTGAGAAGAGACTTTGAATTGTTAGGCTGCTAGAATTTCAGGAACGTTTGATTATTGAGGATTTGCAGGTTTTATTGTGTTCTTTTGGGTACGACCAGCTCACTCGTTTGCTGACTCAGTCGCAGGAGACAGGCAGAGGGAAGACGGGGTGAGAGTGAGGAATAGCAACCGGGACTTTTGTCCCGTTCCCGAGTTACGAAAATATTGAGTAGAATAAAAATAAATAGGTGCAGTAATAGACACAGTGTGAGGGATTGAGTGGCCTAGGACGATATGACAAATAAATTGTCATCCTAGTAATCTTCCCATTAGAGAGAACAACGAACTCATCGTTCAGAAGCGATTGCAGCATGGAAGAAGCCTTAAAATCCGAAACATTCAACGAGTTTGAAGGAAGAGGGGATCGTTGTTCGAACCGCATATCAATGAATTTTTTTTTTTCTTCTTCAGTCGAGGAAGTTTTATCATATTCGTCCATCTTTTATGATTATGATACTTTTGACAAACATTTCAAAAAACACCTCAGTCAAGACATTTTGCATGTCAACCCTCTTCGCATCATCAAACCATCTAGAAAGGTAAGCACACAGATTCGAAGTGCAGATTATGGTTGCATCGTTATCATCGGGCACCACAATAACCCCCGGAGGATTTTGAAGTTGTGATGTGACGCAAACATCTTTTTCGCATCCACTGCCTTGAGATTGCGAACACGAATCACGAACATGTGTACGTCCAACGAGTTGTACACAAAACGGAAGAGATGCAAGTGCATCGTCAGGCAGTGCATTCAGCGATCTCATAATCCGAGTTCCCATTTTATCCACAACAGGTTGTCGTCCCACCGGATTATCAGCCAAGATAGGCACCGACACTTCGGGGGAACCCAAAAGATTAGTTTTCGCACCATGACTCATTTTTCTCTTGAATGTAGATTCAACACAGTTTTTTTTTTGAATCGCCCGTAAGGTTAATAGGCCTACCTGACAGACCTCTACGGGAACCATCCCCATCATCGACAAATGTAAGGTTAATAGGCCTACCTGACAGACCTCTACGGGAACAATCCCCATCAACACGACAATGGTCACCACCCCCCTCCACAACCATATGTTCAGCATCATCAAGGACATTCCCTTGCGAACATCCACGTCCAACTTCACAAAAAACAGCATGATCGCCCTGAGTATGTACACTTCAAAGATTTACCGATTTCTCATCATTTCCAATTTTCTTCAACTTCTCCGAATGTTCGGCTCCAACTTTTAACATAACATTCAGATCACATTGCGTGGTATTGCTGGTTCCCATAACTTTCCTCTTAGCACGAGTGTCGTAGGTATGACGCATTCGAGAGTCGTCTGTAAAGAAAGAATATGACAAAATTAATCGGAATGCCAAAAATACATAAAAAAAAAAGAACAATTGATGTCAAAAGTTCCTGATACACAATATTCTTCGTAAAAAAAAAATTATCAGACAACACAACACGGATGTTGTTGGGATGATCAACACGAGACAAAGCAACATACAGTCGACCATGCATAAAAAATCGGCTTGCGTAGCCAAACCCTCGCGTTTTATCCTTGCGAGTTATTAATCGTCACAACAAAAGCAAGTCAGACTGAAAATTGTATCCTAAACCATTTGAACCCGGTGGTCTCACCATCGCTTGTCAGATCAATCTTGGGGATTCGTGTTGGCTTACCCGTGCGCATTATTGCCACTTCCAATAAATCATCATTAATGATCTTCTTCAGAATCATCCTTGTACCGTTGCAAAATCCTTGCTTCGGGGACAAATTTAACAATAGCATGACGAACGCTTCAATTTTCAAGTGCAGCTTGTGAGATGGAAGGTCCAATTCATTGAGACAATTTAAGAACTCTCTCTCAATACCGAGTCCAAAGTCATCCGAATCAAGATAATCAATGCTGAAAAGTTCACGCACCTCCGTAGGGAAATCGTCAAGAACACTGTTGTTAACAAAACCCGCATCATCATTAGTAGGGCATAAAAATACTCGACATCCCTCACGTGGTTGGACACATCCTCAAATGTCCATGAAATCAACTCATCAATCGGTTTATCCGTACAAATCTCACGTGGCAATCTGACTGCAGCAAGTTCATTAGGAACAATGAGAGGATGATCATCATTCCCAACACGCATAAAAAAGTGGATATACATTCGTATCATTTTATCATCGCCAAAGCTTAAGATTCGCATATTTTAGACCAGTTGATGAACCTCAAAAAATTTCCACAAATGAGACATTTTCATCGACCCATCAATTTGTTGTGCTCACGATTCGTGTTTCGGAACGGGCAAAACCTGTCGAAAATCCGTAGCAAGAAGTGATAATTTTTCACCAAACGGTTCGTCATTGTTATAGAGGTCCGAAAGCGTCATGTCAAGGGCTTCCAAGTGAAACTTACTCATCAGAGCCTCGTCCTAGGCATAAATCTGTACAGAAGATAAGCTCCACAAGATCACATTGTTTTGAAATTAAGAAGGGACGCGTGTTATGAGGTTCAAAAGGTGCGAGAAATCGTGAGTGAAATGTTCGACCCCCTGTCAAAAAAGTCGCCGCTATCCTACCGTGACTGGACGCCACGACCAGTCCAATGGCAGCACGAGACCTGATACCCACCAAAATCGTTTCAATGCAAAAAAATTCGTTTGTTTCAACCGGTGCATCAACAAAAGTTAGCAACAGTATTTTCTTTTGCACAACCCGAACAACTCTTTCCACCAACACTCATTGGTGTGACCGAAGACGTCGAAAATTAGAGTCATATCTACATTGTATTTGAATCGGATCATACGACAACTCCTCGTTTAGAATCGACGATACCGTTCTGTTCTCGTAATGTTTAGTTATATTCTCAACAATTGTTTCTTCATCGGATGTTGGATAAAAAAGGCAGAACTGACGGATGTTTTTTCCAGACTCTTGTAAGATACGGTCAAGATGAAATAAAACTAACGACTACAAAATGTTCAGCGAAACATTTTCTTTACATGCATGATACTGAAAATCGTCACACATCTTATCCCAATGCCATTCCAAGAAACGGACTGGATCGTTCACAGTACCAAATGCGAGAACCATAACAAACATTTTACGAACTTCTTCAGGCATGTAATGCGTTGCGGTTATGTTTATGCATTGATCGTATGCATCGTCGGTTTGCAAAAGTCCCAATCGAAGACACACGGATTGGAAAAAATCGTATTCGACTTCGTCCACCGTACGGATTTCGACAAAAGAGCGCACCCCACAAGAATGTTTATGGTTTAGCAACACACAAATAAAATCTTTCACCTTCCGTGATCCTCACGTGATGCAATCGAGATATCTTTTATAAGGGACCACAGTGAAGATCCCGCTTTCTTCGATTCCACTTCTTGTGTTTGTTATCCCAGACATAAGTATTAAGTATCTTTGCATATAAAGGAAGCTCCTCTCTAGGAACATATTCATTCAAAGAGTAGTGTTTCATCCATGCTGCCAGTTTTGTTTTCGGGGGCCCATGCGAAACAACGTCATGCTCAGTGTCCGGTTCGAATTGCATTTTTTGCATGTTTTCAATATGCATGGACAATCTCTCGACTGCGGGTTATTGTTCTGCAAGGTCGAACTCAAATAGACGTCATCATGTCTCGCATGCACCTACAACACGCATATCTTGATACAATTTGACTCGATCGATAGGCGCATTACCATCTTGTTCACAAACCATAACACGATCAGACCCTTTGTATACGTACTTATACACGTACTTGCACACCTTGATGTTAACACAATATTCAACGTGCAAGTGAAAATTAAACCTCATTAGCAAGTACGGGTTCTACGGGACTACACAGTGATTATCGTAAATGACACTATTTTGAACAATCGTAAAACCACCATCACTTGGTTTCCTTCTCCTATACGAAGGATATATTTATTCGTCTTTGAATATTATTGTCGAAATAAAGTCTTTTGGAAACCCTTTTGTGCATTCTTTGCCCTCCGTACACGAAGCGTCACGTTTCTCCACACGGCAAATCCCATGTAACATGAACTTGACAACCCTTTCTCCCAATTCTCCTTCCGAAGGAATCTCGACACACAACACATTGTCAACAACATCTGCATCCCGAAGTTTATCATCTGGATGCAAGATAGCCAATATATGTTCGTGTGGTAGACCCTTTTTTTTAAACTCCACCACATACGGCATTCCACTCACCCTACCAAAGATCCGTTTGTTCTTTATCTCATCAATGAGTCGTACAAGATAACCTTTGAACACTTTCGAGAAAATATCTGGTCTGTCGTTAGGGCATTGACTTGACAACAGGGCTTGTTTGATCTTCGTCCAGTTAGTGTCGCACGTCAAAGTGATGAAAAAGTCTAGTTTTCCGAATTGCCTCACGATTGTTATGCTGTTGTGATATCTTTCACTCATATATAGGAGCCCCCCGGTGAACGTTGACTGTAAAACAACTTTTGTCCCAACACCATCACCACGTTGATTTTGTTCCACTACATCTTGTAAATCCTGAGAATATTCCGACCGTAATTCTTTTTGGTGGGATCTTACATATTTCAAGCGGAGGGATTCAATTTCAGCGTATGTCATGCAACAAAACTCGTGGAAGAGACGTACAACACAAAGGAGGCCAAAATCTTTCACCATCACGTTCGTGAAGGTGAAATGATAGTACTTATTGGCACTAAGTCCTGACGGTAATCCAACTTCAGAGACACGTCGGACATAACAGCTATCAATTCCCCCCAGGAAAAGTAAATAAAGCAGACGTGCACTCGAAAACATTCCAGAACCACAACCATTTGCCACTCACCCGGAAGAGGAGCACGCAAATGAATCTCAAACCACTCACCCGGAAGAGGACCACGCAAACGAATCTCAAACTCACGAGGAAGAAATTAATCGACCATCAAAATGCACACCTCATGGAGACTCATAAGACGATTATAACACCTTGCATGTTCATGACATCCGGATTTATGACCAACTTTCTCCCGTTCAACGCTACCGGCGGAAGGTCAGCAACCGTCATAAAGTCCTTCACGTAATTGTTACGTTGTTGTAGCAATTCGTAAAACCTTCTCAATATGAGTTTCGTTCGATCGAGTTCGACATTAGATGTATGTGCAGGTAAGTTAAGAAAATTCCCTCTCTGATCAATAATATCATCCCAACGTTGAGGATTGTGCAAGT